CTTGTGGTGGTGGATGGGCAGGACATGGGCTGACTGCAAAGGCTGAAGGAGTCGTCCATGTTGAACCAGTAATCTGACTCGAACTGCATTTTAGTATAATAATAAAGAAGAGGAGTTTGGAAAAGATGAAAAGTCAATGTTTCTGGGATAATAGTAAGCAGAACGAAGATATCTGAAGATGGCTTGTTTTGTTGAAGGACATAAGGCCTCAGTTATACGGTGACTAGACCACCAAGATCCCTCGCCACCTGAGGACTGAATCATGCTGGATGGACCGAGTTGGCGAGTCTGCAAGTCTTAGACATCGACGCTGTAAGTCTCACAGATAGTTCCTGGATGTCCGTCCGATGCTGCATACTGCAGAGGACCGAGCAGCACTGGGATATCTGAAAGGCCTAAAATGGCTTTATATCAGAGGCCAAGTTTGTCCATATAGATATTACACATACAGATAATCTATCTATTGCATAGGTCATTGCATTTCGAGCCTGCATGAATCCACCTACTCTATGTTGCAAATACAGTTACCACCATACTCTTACTGCAAGACGCTTGTTGGTTGAGATATAGGAACGAGTTCAATAGGATTGATTGAAATGACAGCACCTGATTTCTGCACTGGGGCTCCCACGACTGGTTATACACCCAAATGAACATTGCAGTAGCCATAGATTACCGAAGGCAAAGCGTCACAGATGCTTTCGATTCCAACATCAAGGTGAATAATAATTATTATCCTACTTCAAAAGAATATTAAGGCTTCGTATACACGATCAATAGTAGAGATGCAGCAGGTGGTCCGGCCGAAAAGCTAGACGATGCCGCAGCACATGATGTCGCACAATGCAGTAGTGTCAGGCTTTCTGCAAGGGGCCTCATGCAGGCCACTGATCTTCATTCAGCTGGTCGAGGTACTCTAATGCCCCACCGCGTAGCTTCAAGCGCACCGCGTAGCTCAAGTGGACCAACCAACTCTCTGCTACTAAGATGATGCAGTCAATAGTCTGATGCTTTCGGCTAGATCACGGAACTCAACTGATTTCACGGCGACACTGCGTTGGATGACAGAATCTACCTAAGCTTGGAGATCAAACTCTAAGTCAGCTGCATCACGTGGGCATTAGACATGGTACACTCGCCTTAGCAGCCTACCTCAGCCATGGTTCGTTCCGCGCCGGATACGCAGATCTGTAGCTATTTCGATTCAAAAACTGCTGCTAACTATAACCATGCATCGCAGCCACTTTGTCGTTTGCAAAGACTGATACAGTGGTATGTAGTTTGGTATGTTCAAGCCCTCAAGCGATCTTGGCCACTACTTGGCTATGAATGAAGAGACGGCTGTGTCTCAGTCTACGTTTCTTGTCTTACTTGGAAGAGTTGTGGGTTGCGTATCAGGAGTGAAGACAATAGCGCATGTGACACGTAACACCAAGCATGCCAGGCCCAAAAACATGTTGCCCCTTGCTTTACAGCGTGGAATTTTTATAAAAGAGTACATGTCATAATTGCAGCTCTAGACAAGATAGCAAGTAAGTCCGATTGTCGGCTGTCGATATAGGGATGAGGAGCTGAGGGTATGGTCCAAGCACCAGTATCGCATGCCGCGCGTTGATGGTGGGGAGTTTTGTCACCAGGTTCGACAATCGACAGCGCGCCGCCTTGAGCAAATAACATTCAAACCTTCAAGTTTTTCTCAACCGCACCGGCCTGGTGCGATTGCCAAAGTAGAGTAATACATCACTTGGCCACAATCCTTGTGTCATTTATGCCCATCTTATGTCTAATGATTGGTAATGGACTGTGATGATAAATAGAAAGCCTCAATGGTCATTTGTACGCCTTGAGACCTTCTAAAAGGCTTGAAGCCGCAGCAACACCTACGAATTCATCATCGAGGGTATGTGTATGAAGAATAAAAGTATGTGGGTTGTCATTACCCGTACTCATCGCCGACACAGCGAGGAGCACGACCTGAGAAAGTTGCCACTTACCCTGGGACATCTTCCGTCGACGAGGTAGCCCCAGCCAAATGGTCATAGTTTATTCGATGACCGCAGTATTCCTTTCGGTCCGCCACTTGTATCTAAACGCAAGGTGCATGAGAATTACCATTTTCATCTCACGCATATGCTCGACAATCCTCAGAGCTTGGAAGGTCAAGTTAAAGATTGAACGAGACGAGAACGACGGCCTCGGATACTATATTAGTTGGTGATTATACTACGATTCGCTTGTCCATGAACCACTCGATTCTTTCAACTGGCTGGATCGGGCCGGCAACACCTTGCAGCTAAGTTAAAGCATTATGGTGGTAGCATGCCTTACCATGATGACCCCAGAGGCTGCGCAACGAAGGCTTCTCACAATTATTACGGGAAGCTTTGGCCGCGGGGAATCGACTGACTTGGTCAACGTTGTTCCAAGTCCCATCGCCAGCTCCTGTTGCAAGCGTGTTGAAAACACAGTGAGGCTGGCCATCGATTGTTTGGAAGCAGATGCCAGAACCGACATGTTCCTCGGCATAGTCCCATGAAACCAGCGGCGCGTCTGCTCACTTGCGAGTTTGGATATTGAGGCAATGGAGACCCTATCTATAACTACCACCGAGTTTGGCATGGGACTATAAACCCCAGAAGAGGTGGTTCCCATCATTCGAACAAATACCGGATGTCTCGACCTTAGCTTCGCCCATCGCTATAGCGGCTGTACAGTTTGGCAATCCGTCGCAACTCATTCGGGTCTTGAGCTTATCCAGCCTCGAGAGCTACGCCCAGGTGCCTGACTTTTTCATGCTCGAGCTGCGTATCCGGTTGTTGTTCCCATTTATCCTCACCATCATCAATCTGAACGATAAGGGAAGACAAAGCATTGCCATACTATCGGTGGTGGAACGATGTTATCGGTTTGGGAGTCCGATTTCGCCGGTTTTACTGAAGGAGATGCTCCCAAAGAACCGAATGAACAAGCCGTGGAGCGCGGAAGGCATGCAGAAGCCGATAACTCCGCGTCGAGGGTTGTAGTCAAAGCGTCCGAAGGCAGCCCGGATCTTGTCGCAGAGGCGGATATCATCAGCCTTGTTGAGAGGGACAGTCGTTAGCGGCGAGTAATCGCCAATCCCGCACTTGCATTTGAACTCGACAAAGTCTTGGCGTAGTATCGTAGTCTATAGCGATTACGGTCGAAATCCGTCTGCTTTCGTCAGTGGCTGGATTCGAAGGTAGAACCTATTGTTGTCCAGGCGGAGTGACCTTGGTTTGGACTCGACAGGATGCGAAAGAGGCACCTAAGATTCTGATTTGAGTGAATATAAGGAGTGCGCACGCGTGGAGCAGCAATGCGCTGCGGTGTGATAATGGTGATAGTGTTTGGATTGAATGATGAGGCGCGGCACGTCGGGAAGTGGGTTGCCAGACGTTATCTTTGATGACTCAGGCCGACGCGTACCTCAGAGCTCTCTTTTTGTCAGCCACAATCGCTCTCAACAGCCTCAAACCCACAATCCACTTGAACAGCATCATTGGTGAAACTTTTACTCAACTTCAACTGAGCTCAGTTCAGCACATGAATTTCATAGATTCATAAGTATTCATTAAATTTTATTGAACTTTGATCGACGTCAACCATATTCAACTCATCGATCTCATTACCTTCGGCCTTGACCTTGTTGCATTCGAGATAATGTCAATGCGAGAACCAAGCTTACGGTGCGTAACATACCTCACCAGAGGTACCTGAGTTTTAGACTCTCGCTATAGTAGAAGTAGGTACTCCACATTTGTTTCATTGACTCAGGCGAGACACCCCGGAAAGTGTGTAAGACTGGGGCCAAAAGCCCTACCCGATGACCATAAAACCCCGAAAATTAGAGCCTCAAAAGAAGTCGGGGTACTGTGGATACGGCTTCATGAACGAGACCCGTAGCAGGACAAATCTAACGCGGCATCCTAGAGGCTGGGACGAGGGTGCAGATTAAGCGCCATTCGACCTGTTGCCTTATTACTCTCCACTGAAAGTCCAGCATTCTATTTCTTAAGTTGTTTACAGAGAAAAAATAGTATCACTGTAAACAGAACAAGCGACAGATTTATAGCTAAGTGACATATCAAATCATTGCCTCCATCAGAAGGAAACTTGAGGCGGTCAAGAACGAGCACTGCCCATGATTTATGGCCTTTCTTGCCGCTTCAACTTGTTCTGCAGGTAACATTCCCAAACTGCCAGGGGAAAGATATCTTCAACCCTCTTGTTTGGTCTGGTTCGTTGTGAGCAGTCTCGGCCGAGTGTGGCTTGCATTATCACATGCTACGCTATTGCTTGTATCAACAACAAGCAATTGTTTCGACAGGGATGTAGAACCTCACCGCCATATTTCACGTGGCTACGTATGTTGCTATTGGCCAACATCTACTGTAACACTTAGGGGACGTATATTCAGGGTCTCGGAGCCGGCAGCCATGTTCTTCAGCCGCAATATGGTCAACATGCTCAGAGTTTGAGCCATGTCATGTAAGCTACAACTGTTGGCCTGAAGAACCAGAAGGACTTGGTCGCTACAACATGATGAACAAGTATGAACCAATACCAACGGAGAGGAGCTTCTCCATGTTTGTTACCATCCAATTTATATGCGTTGATATGATGAACAACCCTCATTGCGGGGGGCTACTGTAGAGATTTCCTCCTCATCTCACTTCCAACGATCTGCTACCAGTGTCAGAGTCCGCCAGCCTTATCTGGCGGCCAAATATATCATGCTAATCCCGGTGGCTAAGCGCCGAGTGAGCGACAAGACGGGGGCAGATGCATATTGTGTGCTGGGGTCCCTGACTGTTGGGATACATCTGGTCCCAAGGATGTCAGTTGAGTATAAGAACCCGAGACTTGAGCTTCGCTGTCTTGGTGTAGATGCTTGTTGCGCAGAGAGCAATCAACATCAAAGAATCACAAACTTGCACAGTCCATCTCTGCCTTCGTTGGCGGATCCTCACCAACACACAATGCCAAGCCATGAATTGACCCCTCAATCGTCGGCAGCTTCATCTCCATGCTCGTCTTCTACCTTTTTCTGCAATGTCGACGAGGAATTAGCCGAACAGTCATCTAATGACATGGTCACTATGCCGTCATGTTTTGAACACTTCCTCCGGAAAGCTTCAGTTCTTGATATGGTTCAGAACGTTGAGCTTTTGGAAGCAATCTCGATTTGCCTTCAGCTACTCGAAACTGCCATTCACCCTCTCCGAGAACTTCAACGGGCCCTTGGCATCAAACCGGTGGAAATTCCTGAGAAGTACAGCACCCAGATAGTCTCCGGTACCAAGGAATACATCGCACACCTAGAGCAAGAAATCGTCGAAAGCTTTGAACTTGATATCGATATCATTTGCGTCCTGCCCAAAGGGTTTGCCGATCGGTTTGGAACTCAAGCTCCTTTGATTTATCACATGATATTTGACGAAGACAGACTATTGGTGACGATGAGGAAGCTGCGGATGCATTGCCAAGACTCTGAGCACGTGCAGTGGTTGCCGGTGACCCTTCGGTATGCTGCTGCCACCATGTATGTAATGTTTTTCGATTGTTGCAACGAATTAGTTAGTCCACGAGACTGGAGGTATCAGAAGTACTTGGGCTCTTCTTGCAATAAGCTTCTAAAAGCTCCATTGTAATATAAGATTTAATGATCATCGTGGAGGCTTTTAGTAGAAGCTTGTACTGTGCGGAATCCCGTTGTTGTTTGTTCCTGCGTTAGGTGCCCCAAGTTTATTCTTACGGCTTGCAATTCCTCCCAGAGGTGCATGAGGCGTTTGGCCCCGTAAGAGCTACCGCCTCTATCGGAGAGTGGTCCAAGAATGATAACCACAGGATTAAATCAAGGGAGAACGAACCATCATATAATGGATAACAGGCTTTTGACGACCAGAAAACGCTCATCTGCGGCCATTCGTTAGGAACTAAGATCCTGAAGAGATTATTACCCCGAACACTACAGTCACGTGTTGAATCAGCCTTCCTATGTGCCTCGCCGAGTCATCATTCACAAGTTTATGATTCAGTCAGACTTGAAAGTGGCTGTGAGGAGGCGCAGCGGGCAAGGCAGACTTCTGTCGTTGTCAAGAAGTATTTAAATCGCCGGCCGTTGTCCAGAAGCTTAGAATGTAATTCCATTCCTTATTGCATCGAAAACACAGAGAGCCAATATCGGAACATCCAACAGTTGTCGCGCAGCATCGTGGTTCTGCTTCCCGAGTACGACCTCCGCACATCCCCCAACCGGCAAGTACAAATCAACAGAAACTTGAGATGGCCCAGTGTCCAGCAGGAGGCCTACAATTCGGCAAGGCGACCTGGCAGGCGCTCCGCTGAAGACACCGCAGAGGCTCATTAATTGGACACCATCGCTACCAGATGTCGAGACACCGAGCGATTTGCAAAGCAGTCGAAAAAAACATTTCTGTGTAAGGATGGCCCACCCAAACATTGCGATGATCGTCGTGCTAATTCTGTTGGTGTCATTCTTTTTTCTGGCCTGCCTCCCAGGAACATCCTCGACATTGCTGTTGGGAAGACTTTTGACTTCGTCTCCAACCCTTCCGTGATGCGTTATCTGCATGGCCCGCAGCAAGGCATCGTCAGCAACGTGCCCCACCCAGCTCCAACACCCCGGCACCACCAATTCAGCCCTAGACCTGTAGTCACAGAGGATAGGTTGCAGTGGATGGCACAGTGCGAGTCCTCCCCAATAGAGAGACAAGGTTCGCATAGATGGAACATTTCCCGGATGGTCCGCTCTGACAGGCGGCACCAGCCATCCTTGCTTTCCGACAGGGACCAGACACGCCGCTAACAGAAGTCGGTAGAATTGGTTCACCCCGCGCTCGACAGGGGATCCCCGCCAATCTCCCGGCCGCCCCTGACTTTGTCTCAAAGAGGAGCAAGACATGCAAGCACACAGCAATTGGGATGAGGCTGATTGGAATAGCCGAGGGCCCGCTTTAATTGATTTACGCCCCCAGAGCCAGGCTTTGCTCCGTTTTTTCTTTTCTTCTTCCTCCTCCCAAGGCCTCTTAACCGAGCGAAGGACATCAGCTAGCCTCAAATGCCTCTGCCGCTCACCCCACCTGGCTAAGAGGCCCTCTGGAATGGCCGCGGACCATCTGCACAAGCCTGTACTCTTCATGGTACTGGGGTACCTTGCTTGCATGGACTCATGGACGCCCGTCGCCTTCACACTAAATCTTAGTCATTGGAAAGTATGGGCCAGTCCGGGCTGCGGCTGCAGATCCTTTGGTTCCATGCCAGAGCCTTATTGCCTCTTCCCTCTTGCACTTGATGCCTGGATTCCTCAGGTCGGACCAGAGCTGTCCATTCCCACCTTCGCGCTGAGTTTCCCGTCACCAAGCCCAGCCCTCACCGTGAGCAGACATATATTTGCCTTGCCAGCATCTTGCCTCAAGAGTGAGCAAGAACGTATAATCGATCTCAACTTTCCCTGGTTCTTGCAGTCTTTCATCACGCCAACAAATTTTGGGAAGCTTTGTGTTTGATACCTTCATTTCAGCATGCCTCACTCTCAGCATGAAGAAGATGCATCCGCAGCGGTGGACGGTGCTCCCATACCGGTGACGCTTGTTACCGACTCTCTGGAGAAGCCTTCCCTCGACGATCGCGACTATCGAGTCATTCGTCTTGGCAATGAGCTCGAGGCTCTCCTGGTGCATGACCCCGAGACCGATAAGGCCAGCGCTGCCTTGGATGTCAATGTGGGAAGTTTCAGCGACGAGTCTGATATCCCCGGGATGGCTCATGCGGTTGAACATGCAAGTGCCCTAACTCGACATCGGTGATGTCGCACAAACAGACGGTGCACTAACATTTCTGCTTGTCCACAGCTTCTTTTCATGGGCACCAAGAAATTCCCAATTGAGAACGAATACGCCGAATACCTCTCCGCCAATTCAGGAAGCTCAAATGCTTACACTGGGCCAACATCGACGAACTATTTTTTCGAGATTTCTGCCAAGCCGGACAATGACCAGGATCCTTCAGATACCAACCCTTCTCCTCTGCGCGAGGCTCTGGATCGATTCGCTCAGTTCTTTATCGAACCGCTCTTTCTACCCGAGACCCTGGACCGAGAGCTGAAAGCTGTTGATTCAGAGAATAAAAAGAACCGTCAGATTGACATATGTAGGACTATTCAGCTAGTGAAGTCTCTTTCCAACCCCAACCACCCGTTCTCTCACTTCCCAACCGGCAATTTTAAGGTTCTCAAGACACTTCCTGAGGCACGTGGAATTAATGTGAGGGACAAGTTTATCGAGTTCCACGCCACACACTATTCAGCAAACCGCATGAAGCTGGTTGTTCTGGGTAGAGAACCGCTTGACGTGCTTCAGAAATGGGTCGCCGAGTTGTTCTCTCCTATCGTCAACAAAAAACTTCCACCAAACCGGTGGCCAGGCGAACTTCCTTTCAGGGAAACCGATCTCGGTATGCAGTGTTTCGCGAAGCCCGTCATGGACTTGAGAGAGCTTAACCTGTATTTTCCCTTCATCGATGAGGAGTTTATGTTTGCTACTCAACCTAGCCGATATATCAGTCATCTCATCGGGCATGAAGGCCCTGGAAGTATCATGTCATGTATCAAGTCCAAGGGTTGGGTAGATGGTCTTATTGCCGGCGCCTATCCTGTTTGCCCTGGCACTCCTGGTATCTTCCGCGTACAGGTTCGCTTGACGAAAGAAGGTCTTAAGAACTACCCTGAAATCGTCAAGATATTTTTCCAGTACATCACTCTCCTGCGTGAGAGCCCACCCGAGGAGTGGAGATTTCAAGAGCTGAAGGAATTGAATGATGTCGAATTCAAGCTCAAGCAGAAGACGCCCGCCGTGAAATTCACCAGCCAAATCAGCTCGGTAATGCAAAAGCCTCTTCCTCGGGAACAGTTACTCAGTGAAAACGGCCGTCTCCGAGAATTTGCTCTTGATGAGATCGAAAAAGCCCTTGCCACGATTCGCCCGGATAACTTCCGCATGGTCATTGTATCGCGCGAGTACCCTGGCAATTGGAACCAGAAGGAAAAGTGGTACGGAATTGAATATCGACACGAAAAGATCCCCGAAGATCTCATGGAGGAATGCAAGAAAGCGTTTGCTATCTCTCCCGAAGATCGACTACCTGCCCTTCGCCTGCCTCACAAGAACAAGTTTATTCCTACTAATCTCGAGGTCGAGAGGAAGAAGGTTGGTAAGCCGGCCCCGAACCCCAGGATTATCCGCAATGATGGCATTGCCAGGACCTGGTGGAAGAAAGACGATACCTTTTGGGTTCCTCGCGCCAATGTTGTTGTCAGCCTGAAGACACCACTTATATATGCTTCAGCAGAAAACAACGCCATGGCTGAACTGTTCTCGAACCTCGTCCGTGATGCACTCGGAGAGTACTGGTACGACGCGGAGCTGGCTGGCTTGCAGTACAACGTCGATCTCGGTTCGCGTGATGTGTTCCTGGACGTCAGCAGCTATAATGATACGCTGCTTGTGGTCTTGAAACAGGTCGTCACCACAATGCGAGACCTGGATATCAAGGAAGATCGATTTGAGATTGTCAGGGAGCGCTTGATCCGAGGATGCAGAAACTGGCAGCTGCAACCACCTTACAAGCAGATTAGCAGATATACCGATTGGCTCAATGCCCCCGAACGGGACTTCATGGTGGAGGAGCTCGCAGCAGAGCTTCCAAGTGTCACATTGGAAAGTGTCAGGCTTTTCCAGAAACAGATGCTTGGCCTGGTTTTCATCGAAGTGTACGTACATGGCAACATGTACAAGGAGGAAGCTCTCAAAGCAACCGATATGGTCGAGTCCATCCTGAAACCACGGGTTTTGCCAAAAACTCAGTGGCCTGTCCTGCGGTCACTCATTCTGACAGAAGGTTCCAACTACGTTTTCAGAAAGACTCTCAAGGACCCTGCCAACGTTAACCATTGCGTCGAGACTTGGTTTTATGTCGGTAGCCGAGAAAATCACGACATCCGGGTCAAGACCCTCCTTTTGGACCAGATACTCCATGAGCCAGCGTTTGATCAGCTCCGGACTAAGGAGCAACTCGGTTACGTCGTATGGAGCGGAGCTCAATGCTTCTCCACGACTTGTGGTTTCTCCTTCCGCATCCAGAGTGAAATGACACCAGAGTTTGTCGACTCGCGTATCGAGGCCTTCCTCATGAGATATGCAGACACTCTGGAGACGATGACTCAGAAAGAATTCGAAGGTCACAAGAAAAGTCTGGTCGCCTCGTGTCTAGATAAGCTCATCACACTGAATCAGGAGTCTCAACTGCATTGGACTGAGATAAACAGCGAAAAATATGATTTCGAGATTCGTAAGTCAAAAAAATACCCAGTTCAATATTGTAAATATACTAATCATTGGTAGGCCAACACGATGCCGCCCGAATTCGACAGCTAACCAAGGCTGAAATTGTGGATTTCTTCAACCAGCATCTCAACCCTTCTTCCACGCAGAGGGCTCGGTTATCGATTCATCTTAAGGCTCAAGACAAGGCCGAAGGGGTCGATAAGCGACAGGAAGAGGCTCAGAAGCAGGCCGATAAGGAGCCCTCCTCTGGAGATGCTGTAAAGATGGCCGAGGAAATCACTGATGTCAGGCTTTACAAGGCTGGTCTTACTCCCAGTTCAGGGGTCATACCTGTCAAAGACGTAAGCGACTTTGAGCATTGGTATGTGCCGCTTAGGGCTTGGATTACGAACACAAAGTATCGGCTCCGTGGTGCTTTTTCCCGGCTTAGGTAGAGCCGATGGTGGGAATGTCGTTCCTTTCTACACGCAGGCTAAATCTCTTTAGAATGAACAATATATGACAACCATGGCTGAACCTGACGTATCCATACTCGTTTTTTAACAGGCAGCGCCACTGTTTGTAATCTCTACCTAGGCATCACAATGCGAAAAGTCCCTATGAGCATAAGGAGGTGTCAGATAACGTTATTGTCCGGAGTACTTCCGGGCTGCCCACTTGAATGTCGATCGAGGTTCTCCAGATATGGTGTTGTTTTAGATATATCTTTGATGTGTAATTGATTCGTTTCCTTCTACTTATCGGAATCGAAAGAGATGAGAAGGTGAAAGCATGCTCTTCAGAGAACAACATTCGAGCATAAAAGCGTAGAGGCGCTGGAGAAGCAAACTGAATGAGCGCACTATGTGTTGCTGACCATGGAGTTTTTATTTTATTTTTTTATCTTTTAAGCACATCACTTCTAAAGGAAGCGATAATGGACATCAACAGGCTTTGTGGGACGGAGTTAAAATACTTCAGTCAACATGACACGGGTGCACTAAAATGACAGGCGTATATCCGACAACTATGGGGATGAATGCGACCTATAAGGTTAACCTTTAGGCTGCAAACACAGGTAACAAATAAGAACACGGTATCTTTTGCCTCAATATCAGCTTTTACCCAGAAGCTTTCACGATGACCATTACATCTTGCTGCAAGCCCTAGGGCATTGCAAGGTGAGGAGATCAAGAGGTATATAAAGGGATATAACCTCGGGTTTGCATCTCTGCACCCCAACCACAGCACAACTCCACAAACAACATGTCCGCTACTCCAGCAATCCGAACAGTTGTCGGTGGCGACTCGACGAGCCAGGAGGCTCAAGACTACATCCACAGATTCCGCATCTTATTCACTGCTCTCACGCATGCAAGCAAACGTCAGATCAGAAAGCAGGCTAGCTTTGAAGACCTTAAGGAAGCCGAGCTTCACTCTCTTACAAGAGCTCACTTTGAGCTTCAAGATGTTCACGGCATGGTTTGTGCCAAGCTGGCCCTCTTCGGTTGCGAAGCGTTCAAGGCAGTTAATGACCTAAGCGCTCGTCATGTCATAAAGTTTGCTCGCCATGAGGCCGAGGCGCTGAGAGAGCTGACGGAGAAGGAGGACGAGCAAAATGAACACATTGTGGCGCTGAAGAACAATGTCGACGGGGTGGTAGAGCTCGTGACTCTGTGGATTGATGCGGCAAACTGAGGAAGGCCGGCGTACGATGATTGGAAAGCTGATGATTAGAGTTGTCGAATGACTCCAAGAAGGATCATGTGCGTGGTGGAAAGGTTAAACTGTCGAAGGTTCTGTTGACTGAGTCATCCGGGCTGGTTGGAAAAGTTAAATTGTCGATACTTTTGCTGAGGTGAGTCACATCCGCGCGACTGGAAGCTTCGATAGCTGAGAGAATACAAGCTGATCAAGTTCATAAGATTAATACACAATGATTTTTTTAAACACGATGGTATATCCGACAACAGCTCGAGTTCGAGCATTAATGCATGGCCTATCACTCGCCAGGGTCTTATAAAAGCTTCAAAGACTAATTGCCCTTAGTACGGTGTAGAAAGACGTGAGTAGGGCATCACGTCTCTCACCAATTGCAATCAGCTCATCTTGATCGACTGCAAGTGTGACATGGAACTTGAACGATGGCAAAGCGCGCGAAAATTGGTGAAATTTTGCGTCAAGGCCAATTGGCATGGCTTGTCCATGAGAGATCACATCGCGACACGTGGCTGATCTTTGTTTTGCTTCAACTTACTGCGATTGGCAGGAACTATCGGACAAAGAATGGAACCAATAGACCTGATTGTCTGATACGATGTTGGTTGAACAGGGATGTCCTCTTTAACAGCTGAGATCGACGCTGTGTCAACCACAAGGGCCAATGAGAAGAACACTGTGAGTGGTGCGGGTTTATTGCATGCTGTCTATCGCTGAGGTAGGGAATGTGTACGCCCCAAAGACAATACCGGAATGTGGAGTACCCTGGCTGCGAAATAAGCTTAACAGCTACAGAGTACTGCTGCACAATGCGATCGCTAGTCATTTAGCATTCGTTCCTTACCCATGGTGTCTAGGCGGAATGATGGCTAGGGTTCCGATGAGCTAATGACCCCACCTCCAAGTTCCCCCACAAAAGTGCATTATCATCAGAGTACTCAGAAGAACACCGTCTTCTGACTACCAGTACAGGGTGCATAACCATTTAGATCGCCACTCCTCAGTCAACTTGGTTGTCCGTTCACCAGTTGGCTATGTGGCGAGGAACAATAAAGTGGTGACTGTCATCGGGACGTAAGAGGCCAGCCTATCATGATCACGGGTACTTATTCTCTGGCCATCCATTGTGAGGCGGCATTGAAGGCGAGTTCTGTTCCCATTTTATTTGCGAAACGGCACTGGCATTAATAACCAACGATATCATCCGTGTGGTAGTGGTGCCGCTTAACTTTACGTATGTGATGACGCCGGTTCTAGTCGTGAGCATGATACACACAGCCATTGCTTCTTCCTGTATTACATTATTCATGTCTCCTGGTTCACCATCTAACTAACCCTACAGTAACCCTTCGCCATTTTAACCGCACTGCTGGCCACCTTCTATGAGCCTAACTACATGGAAACTTGGGTCTTTCCTAACTTCACCGACAGAAGCCAAGCATAAATTACACACAGGAGAGAAAACAACATCAACGGAATCTAGACCTCGACGCTAAATATGTTCAGTGTCCATGGGGATTCCCACCTTATACTTGTAATTCTCGTTCCAAGTCTTGATAGTAAGAGGCATCGACGAGGAGACATTGAAGATAGAGGTTTCAATGTTACCATGTATCAGGTTCTTCTAGATCACCATGTTACGCGTCTTAATGAAAGTATTTAGTTTATATATGACCAGTGTTCCTCAGTTTCATGGACTATGTGCTTTGGTTTGAAGTAAGAAATATACATAAGAATCGGGCTAGTCTTAGCGAACGGCTGTGAATAGCGCGGCAGGTCGCTCCCAAGCCGCTTGTAGTGGTGGCATAATGAAAGGCAATAGCTAGTCTGGAGTATATCTTTCTGAGAGTAGCCCAAGCAACCCCAAGCGGATTTACTAATGGCCGCCAAAGTCATTGTCTAGTAGTGACCAGCTTTGGGCGTCGTACGAGGGATGAGTCATGTCACCTGAAAAGTCGTCCGGAGCTGACTCCATGGGGATCCCCATGGCCATTGACATGTTGGTCACCAACAGACGGTTGTCTTGCGGTGTTCGGAGATAATGATCAACATGAGTCGGGTTAAAGCCTCCCAAGACCACGCTACAGTCGGCCATGTTGAAGGGCTGCGGCCCGCCTTGATTCAGGTTAAAAGTTTGATCTGGTGGCATACCCCATGGCGGCTGTTGGTGGGTCTGGGAATTAGTTGGCATCTGATGTGTCTGCAAGTATTGTTCTGGTCGAGATTGGTCGTGCAAGGATAAATCAGGTGGTTCGTCAAATGATATCGGCGCCGTACCAGGACAAAAAGTCGTTTGGTCACGTAACGAATGCTTGCCGTCACCTATTCCATTTCCACTTGCAAATGAGCTTGAAAAATGTTGAGCAAAGTTTTCCAGGGTGTGGAGCCAACTAGAAGTAAGTGGCCAGACCTCTTTCTGTTCCGCTAGGATAACCAGGCTCCGTCTAAACATAAAATACCCCTTTTTCTGAGTATTGGCATCTAGTTTAATAGAGAAATCAATACTCAACGTGTAACCAGTGGGAACAGCAGCAGAACTGACCTTTAGAATAGCGCCAGATGTGTATAGAAGCATGACCACATATGTAGACACAAAGAGTAGCCATTAGCCCACCAAGACGTTCTTTTGTGAAACGCCCGATAAATTGAGCATGAACTAGGTCGTAAAGACGACAAACATTGTTGAAAAGATCGCCTTCTATTCCTTTGAAGAATTCTGGCTTCTGGAGGTATAGCGATCGATTCGGAACACTATAGAAAATGAGCTTGTATCGGGGGTATTGGTGGTCTAATCATACTGCTCTAGGTACAGACAACGAAGAACAATGTTGCAAAGGCGCGGGATCATCGTCACCTCGAGGTATGCCTGAAACGTAAGTCTTAAGTCATATTACAACGGGGGACGTACCAGATCCTGGCCCTTGGTTTTGTGTTCTCTGAGTCTGGCTTCGCTCCACTTATGGGCCGGAGGCAAACTCATTTCCCAATAATCAAGCTTTTTCAGGACTTTGGCGAACTCGCTCTCTGGGCCCCACGGATAAGAATTAGAAAGATGGTTGACTTTATGCCGTTTGACAATGCCCCAGAAGCCATACGCTTGAATCAACGACTCAAAAAGGGACCGATTCTCGTTGACCAAATCTGGGTTCTTGATAGCGGACCGAGTTCCTTCAAAAGCGGCCCGTGAAGGAGGTTCTCGCCCATTCGCAAAATCATCTTCATCACAAGGAAGAAGAGTGGTAATATCCGAAGCAACAAGAGAAACAGGCGAGGAAAGGCGTGATTGTAGCTGATTCTGGTTATGTAACATCCACTGGGGCGTCCTTTAGCCAATCTGGGTCCTAACAGTTCTTAACACAATAACGTACCAGAGTCCTGCGCGCGGATTCGCGAAGAATGATGGTATCGGGCGTAGGGTTCGAAGTCTCATAAGCATAAGTCTGTTCCAAATGCAGGTTGAGTGTAGATGCAATTTGAAGAGCGAGGCACATACTCATCTGTCAAGTCAGTAATGAGGCGGGTTTTCAGGTCTTCCACACGTACATGGCTCTCATCTCTGAGTCCATTCCCTTCTTGTGCGATGCTAAGAAGTAAAAAAGCCTGGCAGTTCTCTAGTGTATTCTTTGTCGGATATATCTCGCCGAGTGCAAGATTTGTCGCCCGCTCTATGAAGAACCTGGATGCCTTTATGCCGGATCCATACCGCGCCGAAAGGGGAGGGCTCAAACGAGCTGAAATGCTAAGAATGCCGACAACAAGAAAAGCGCTCACTGATGAGTGGTCATCGAGTAGACACTGGAGGAACTGCTTCTTGTGAATGAAACACAGTTGAAAGGAATGTCGCGTAAACTGGTTCACGCCATCAATAATTTCTGGCAGTGGTGGGAGTTGTTCCCATCCATTGCTATGTGTTTCTGAAGTTGTGGCACTTGCGTTTAGAATTTGTTGTCCCGTCTTACCTAGGCCCGGTAGAGTTGTCATTTTATCTTTTTTACGACTCCGTGGCTGTCGGTGTTTGCGATCAACATCCTGTCGACCTCGCGGTTCAAACGCACTATTATACAGAACTTCAGGGGAAGATTCAGAGACGTGATCAAGGAGCTTACCATGTGCCTGCCTCGCCTGCATCCGCACAGGCCCGACAAGGAGGCTGGCAATCATTGTGTATACATTTGGACCTCTTACGCCGGCATCTATGACATGGTATCAGTAAATAATAATATCGCATAGTAGATGGTTTCACGCACCGCTTGCAAGCCTTTTTACCTCGCCGTTGAATCAATGGAGCTGACATCTCCATATTCTCCCAAATCTGAGGTAGCCGTCAAGCAGAAAACCAAGTACGGCAGCCACAACTCCAGAAAGTCGAGGTACTGGTGCTATAGCAAGAGCTACAGAAAGAACTTTGACGGCAGCCTCGCGACCAAATGGACCACATAAGGTATGCTGTAGATGCTAGGGCGACACCGTTACGTGCCGGGCCGGGTTCCGTATCCCAATGGAACCAGCCTGAACTTGTGTCGCACGTGCTGGATAAGTTCTAGTGTCGAATTGGTTGCTGTCGATTTGATACGGACTCACGGACAGAGAGAACGGGAGCGGGAGAGGGAGCCCAGCTGAAGGGTAACAACTAAGATAACCTTGGATCCGTGGCAAAGCTTGCTTAACAATACTCAGTATTGTGACTGCCCACCACACCGTGATCCGTTCCACCGTTCAAAGAAAGGCGAAGAGGTTACACCAACAGTAATACTCCGATCTGCGACTGCGCCCTACTGACGGATAGGAGAGGGGAAGACAGCCGTACTTCTAATGCGTATTGTAAGATGCAAACAACGGCGCAACAGAGAATAGGACGAGGATATGATCTGATGAAGCTGAGTAGATAGTCGCAATGACAACGCCGCCCCAGTTGTAACTGGGAGCAGAATGATCTGATATGGCTGAGGATAGACGACGCCAATATGGCTTGTGAGCCTAGAACGGAAGCCGCTCGCTCGATAGCCTCCAAATACAGATCCTGAGCATGAAAGTGAACAACAACACGACAGATAGTTAGCCTAAGTCAAAAGTATATAAAATGAGGTAATGTGAGCAGGCGGGTACGAGGCTTTATGATCAGGATTGGTGCAATACGAGACAACTCGAGTTGAGGCACGTTCCCGCGAGGGTTTGTGACTGCGAAGTGTTTACCAGTATCTTAACCTAGGATGGCGAAGAAGTAGGCCAGGTTATCGAGCTGAAAATGTTTAATATAAAGTGAGGGAGAGAAAAGATAAAAATGCCAATAGTACCCGCCTGATTTCTTTGTGAAATCGGTGCTTGATGCTGTCACTGGAGCCTTATCTTGGTAAGACGGGTTTCCTGAGCCAAAAGCAAACACGGAGGGGAAGGTTTTGAAGACCCTGCCCCCAGACTTTTAAGTCATCGAGGAGCAGCGAGTGGAAATTTCTCGGTTGCAGCCCGTTTTAATTGGGTATTTTGAACGCCTCCTGAGGAAACTATCACGTGCAGTGTCAGCCTTTCCCTGCAAACATCAATCTGGCTTGTCCTATCAGGAGGCTGGTAGGGCGAAGGAGTGACCGCAAGTACTTGCTCAGATACCCTTGTCGATGTTGCCTGGAAAGTGTGTCATCTTTGCTTATGCTAACACAAAGCAGCTGATTGTTAATCCCGCAACGAAGCGCGGTCTCATAGAGAGAAAGCCGCTTCCAATATTACCGTAAGTGACTCCTAAACTAGAAAAGGTATTGGAGAATCGCATAGAATGAAGAAAGTAATATGATAACTTGTAACGTTCTTAACCTGCGAAACTCTTACGGATGTCCCACCTGCAAAGAGTTGTATACTCGAAGTGAAAGGATTGATCTACCTTTCATAAACCTTGTATCAGAAATTGAAAATATTACGTAAAATTCATTGCATCATAGTCTTTGACAAACACCTTCATCCGTTGTACGTGTAACTTGCGCGAGATCTGAGCACGACGGCGTAGGTTTGCCGTTCTGCCTGACTCTTGGCGCTTTGCGTACCTGATAGGAGGACGGACGGGCGGATGAGTTGTTAATTAGGTTCTTATATTTTCAGACGGCTTGCAATTATAGGTGCTCATGAATGAGGTTCTCATATTGCAAAAATGGGGAAGTGTGGGCATCAGTAAAGAATGGTCTGGTTTGTCCTTCATGTACGTATGGAGCTCAATCGATGTCATTCAATCAGCGCGACAGCGAGAACAGAACAACGCCAGTTTGAGACCATTCTTCAATCAGAGATGGAGCATGCCAATCACCATCGCCGGCCCTTGACTGTTATTTGTATAGCTACATGGAATCACCATAGCTCTAGACGAATTAGCCTGCATCTAGTAGGGAAACAGAGGTCCTTTCCTTTGTCGTTTCGTGTCAGCCTACCAGTTTCACCCCTTGATTCGCTTCAGCTACCTCGCTGTTAAAATTAGCCAACCCCACTTTCTGATTATGCACCAGATCTGTCGCCCCCTCTAAGATAACAATGATCATGTGACTTCGCTGCTGTTTCGCGTTTATATTTAATTAGCAGCACCCTTTTCGTACCCCGCTACACGCAACGGTTAAATCGACAAACTTCAAAAAGACTGTGCTCCCCACTTCACCATTGAGTGCGATCACTAACACCTCCTTGGCATTTTAAATCTTCCGTCGCTGGTGCGGATGTTAAGATTTTTCGATCGTTCGACATATTTTTATTCTGTATCCCTCATCTGTATTCCTTATCAAAAACCTAACCGTCGTCTCCAAGGGTCTCTACCAAAGATACTCAAATCCTAGGTTATTCTCATAAGAGCACACTTTTCTCGAAAAAACCAGATAACTTGGTAGACATGTCAGCTTCGCAGTCCTCTAGATCTTCGACTTCAACGTTGTGTAAGGGTAACGGCACTTCGGAGGCGCCCGTTGTAGCCCCCGCGAAAACGGCATCCACAGCGCATCTACCGACCCGCAGAGAACTCGCTCTACGATATCTTTCAGCAAGACGCCGGCACATCGCTCTTTGTGATACCCATTTGCTGGACAGATTTACACGCTCAGCTGCTCGGCGCGAGATGGGAGGAACTGCCGCCATGCGATACACCTCAACCGTCAGGGGCCCCAGGCACGCCACCATCGCGAGGACATTTGAGTCCATCGAACACCATCATCAGCCTTAGCAACGCGCTCACGCAGATTCTCCTACCCAAACCATTGCGTTCTATTCTATCCTCAAATGCTGTCAAGTCAGTTCTCAACACGCTGTGGCCTACACCTTTCAACAAGCCACAGTATCTTCCCGAACTCCATCTATATTTTGGTGGCTTCGTTTATCATGATGCTGTACACGCGCAGCTTATGTGGAATTACCCAACTGAGGACGCAAAGTCTTCAAAATCTTCATTCGAATCACTTTCAACGGAAACCGCTGAGTCTTCCAACATCTCAAAGCAATCGTCTCCCAAGTACAGCCCTGCCAACCTACCTATGATCTGTTACATTGGCAAGACTCAATTAGCCTCCATCCGAAACGACCTTTTTCGCGCCCCTTCTGGACCTGGACGAACAGATAACGAACCCGTGGCTCGCCTCCAGGAGCTGCGGGCTCGTATGCTCGTACCCTCAAATTCCGATCACGATGCTCATTTCGTGGGCATCTTTCTAGGGATGTCGCAGAAGTACTTCTACCCTGCCCCATCTGACGAAAACAAAGCCAAACACAAATCACGCATTTCATCACTACAAGGCATTCCACCAAGCCCCAACTTCCACGACATGAAGTTGAAAATTATGACTCACGACATTGATACATCCGAGTTTATTGTCTACACTGGTTACATCACAAAGGAGTTCTTGGAGAAGTTTCACAATCCCTTCAAGGCTCCAGCTAATGATGACGACGCTATGGTTTCTGGTCTCAAGATTGAGTACACAAGAGTTCCTATCTGGCCGATTCTGGGACTCAGAGAGAGACTTGGCAAAGCTCTAGGCCAAGAGATTGTCGGAACCTTCGATCCAGATAAGATGGAGACCTGGGAGGAAGACCCTGAGAAGCCACGTGGCGAGAAGCGCGAGCGCGCATCCTCACTGAGCCCGTCAGAAGATACTGAGGAGGAACCAGAAATCATTTCAAAGAAACGGTGCCTGAGCGAGGGCACGCCTGTGGGCGTGGTGATGTGAAAGCAAACTACATGCAATGTATGATATGAAACTGAGATGGGATGGGTATACCTACGGTTTGAGTTTGAGGGCAACAGGACTTTTTCTTTATACAAAATACATTTGACTGGCTGGAATGACTTCGAGATTCCATCAAGACTCACTCTGATTCTGCCTCACAGGCACGCATGACAAGGGTAACGGCGTTGAGTTCATGCCAATGAGGACTATCCGGTTGCTAAAGGTAGCACGTTGAATATGTGGAGGACCGTCCGGTGTTCCAGTAGTCATCAAGTGCGACTCACTTCACTTGCTATTGAATACAACGGGAAGGTTCATATCAGCACCAGCATTCACGACAATTACGAGCTATGTTTCTCATGGCTATATTGGAAAGGGAAACTTCTTCTACCGAGCTAGATTGCATAATGTACCAGGGGTCCGCTCCCCTACGATCTTCTAGTGATGGAGAGAGCCTGGACCTTCTAGATCACATGGTGACGCTGGCCAAGAGTTTCTAACGATCCTGTAAATGAGCGTTGCCGATTATCGACATTTCTCTGACACGTGTCGCCCTCCTCTTCTCACGTACTTAGGTACTATACTGTAACCTCTCTCTGGCTTTCTATCTCTGTGCTCCGTTTTTCTTTTGGCAATACCACGGCTGTGTTTATGATGGTACTTGGGCAACCCCAGGCCACGGTAGACCCAGCCTACGAAGGATCTGCCATCAATCAGCAGACCCTACAGAAAATGAGCAAGGCCATGAACCAGGTCATGCGAGCTATACTTCCTGTTTGGAAGACAGCACCTATCACCATTCTCCACAGGGAGAGCGGGATCCCGCCAGTCGACCAACTGCTCGAAGAAAATCGCTGGACGAGGCTCATCCTCTGGCGAGCCGAACGCGCCCGCCTACCCAGCCTACATACCACGACCTCATCAAGCGAAGATACCAAAGACAGACGGAAAACGTCTTCAGGACGCGTCTTCGACGCGCAGACGAGCTGCTTGCACCATGCCCGCGGCCGAAGCTCATACAGCGATGCTTCTGACAAGAAGAAATAGCACCACTACAGACTGCATCTAAGGAGAAAACAACTAGTGCCTTTCTCTACTGGCTTCCATCGTGTTTAAAAACATCATTGTGTATTAGTCTTATGAACTTGATCAGCTTGTATTCTCTCAGCTATCGAAGCAAAAGTATCGACACTTTAACTTTTCCAGCCAGCCCAGATGACTCAGTCAACAGAACCTTCGACAGTTTAACCTTTCCGCCACGCACATGATCCTTCTTGGAGTCATTCGACAACTCTAATCATCGACTTTCCGATCATCGTACGTCGGCCTTCCTCAGTTTGCCGCATCAATCCACAGAGTCACGAACTCCACCATCCAGTTGACACTGTTCTTCGACGCCACGATGTCTTCATCTTTCTCGTCCTCCTTCTTCGCCAGCTCTTCCAACACATCGGCCTCATGGCGAGCAAAATCCATAACGCGACGAGTGCCTAGGTCGTCGATAGCTGCCTTGAACGCCTCGCAACCGAAGAAGGCCACCTTGGCACAAACTATGCCTGGAACAGTCTTAAGCTTGAAGTGGGCTCTGGTGAAAGATCGAAGCTCGGCTTCCTTAAGGTCTTCAAAGCTAGCCTGCTTTCTGATCTGACGTTTGCTTGCATGCGTGAGAGCAGTGAATAAGATGCGGAATCTGTGGATGTAGTCTTGAGCCTCCTGGCTCGTCGAGTCGCCACCGACAACTGTTCGGATTGCTGGAGTAGCGGACATGTTGTTTGTGGAGTTGTGCTGTGGTTGGGGTGCAGAGATGCAAACCCGAGGTTATATCCCTTTATATACCTCTTGATCTCTTCACCTTGCAATGCCCTAGGGCTTGCAGCAAGATGTAATGGTCATCGTGAAAGCTTCTGGGTAAAAGCTTATTATTGAGGCAAAAAATACCGTGTTCTTATTTGTTACCTGTGTTTGCAGCCTAAAGGTTAACCTTATAGGCCGCATTCATCCCCATGGTCTCTACTGGCTTCAGTCACTCGGCCCGCTCACTTTGGTGGTATACTCGGATGGTTCTCTGTCCTCGGAAGGGGCTGCCAGCAACGGCTTCACCATTCATTAGAACAATGTCCCAATCTTTATCGGATGGGGTCGCCTTGGGCCCGCTCAGGTTTTCGATGCTGAAGCTATCGGGGCGTTAGAGGGCCTGAAGGCTGCCCTAAATCTGCGAGAAGTAGCAACACAGAATATTTACATATGCCTGGACAACCTGGCAGCCGCCACGTGCTTATGAGGCACACCCTCTGACTCCTCTCAAGACGTCTTTCTCGAGTTTCAGGCTCTGAAGACGTCACACGGAGCCATCCAGGTCCGTTGAATACCAGGAGATACCAGGACACTCCGACATCCCTGGCAACGAAGAGGGCGATAAGCTGGCAAAAGCGGCATCATCGCTCCCTGAGCCTGAAGGCGCTCAACCGACGCTGGCTTACTTACAAAGATTCGCAAGACAGAAATCGAAAGAAACATTCGAAGCATAGTGGCCAACCTCCGCTCCTAAGCAATACAAGCGACTCAATCTCAAGGCGACCACAAGCTGTCCGCCGGGGCTCTCGCTCCCATGTGCAGCCTTGCACCATCTTCTCGCAGCGAGGTCCCTCCATTGACTCATCAAACATCACAGACGATCTAACAAACATAAGCATCCAAGAGTCAAGGCCTATGTCTGAGCTAGATACAGCTAGAAATGAGAGATTATGGAAACCCTCCTTTCTGTTGTAAAGCTCGATCATGTCTAGAAGGACCTGACAACTCAGACGACGTTCATCGATGACAAGCCTCTGGGGCTTCACTGAAGAGTGAGGATATCGTTAAACATAAAAAAACGTGGAAGAAATGAACAAATGAATCACTTTCAGCCAGCCAACAAGTACTACAAATGCTTCTCATCGTGTTCGCCGTTATCGAAGATGGTATCTCTGCCATGTCCTATTTATTACTGTCAAAAGACGAGTTCCTTGACTTCCAAGCGGGGAGTTGCTCAAACAAGACTGCATTTCCCATAAATACCCCTCTGCTACATATCACCGAGGACCATATATTAGATGCACGATATTGGTTCTATTCGTTATCATCCTTATGAAATACACGCAAGCCTCATGAGCCCTCCTGCCGTTCTTTGAATGCTACACCGTCGGCTGCAACCTAAAAGCGACCTGGGACATGGCACTGTCAAGATGAGCTCGAGGCCCCGCTAAAGTAGTAATCGAGTGATTATTGTGTTCTGTAGGTCAAGGCTGCGGGTGTGCGAGAAAAAGCGCGCTTGGGACAGGATAGGGATATCTTGGCACAGGGGATTTGGGGCTCGACAGCTACGAGCGGCTCTCTGATGGTCTCGGGGTCAATTTGCGTAGGGCCATGTCCGATCATGTCCACTTGAAGCCCAAGTCCACCGAGTAGCAAAACTCCTCCTTCGTTGATGGAAAGCTGATTCTTGAGCAGGCAATGTTATCGTGGTGCCCAAAGCAGGCATCGTCGACGGCAATCTGCATTTTCGAATGATCGTGTACCGCACCGATCGCATTGACCAATTCCTCAAGCCCTTCTGCCATATCCATGGTGACTATACCCCGGGCCAGTGTGTTGTCTGAGCTAATCCAGTACGCCGCACACTTCTTTTACGGTCTTTGCGGTCTGCCCTGGTCCCTTGAAGCTTTTATCCACTCCGGGGAGTGGTAGAGATACGAGAACAGGCACCATGACAGGTTTTGGTTTGACCACTTGAATCGGCAGACAGCGGACTCGACGGTCAGTGTTGGATTGTCTCTGCTTGTGTATGCGGCGGTGGTTCAAATGACAGTCAGCATCGCTCCTTCTAGGAGCGATTGTATCCGTGGACCGCAGGCTTGATCATCTTCGTTCGTGTACATGGCAGCAGGTTAGGTGGCAGTCCAAACGGCGAGAGGCATTACCAGGTCTTGTCGGTGGCCTCAAGGCCCTGCTTCGCATCAATTTCGGAGTAGGACGGTTCGTTTGCGGTTCGGGGCTTGGAGTACGTGGGGGATTGGTCTCTGGAACTGCCAGTCGGGAAAGCGCAGCGCGACGCGTCGCCCATCACACCGGTGTTTGGCGTGCTGGTCGGCAAACGAGAGACCCAGCGCAGGATGGAAAGGCTATGAGGTGGAAGAAGCGTCGTCGTCGAAGAAGGCGTTGCAGAATATGCAGTTCTCGGCAAATCGGAAAGGTACGGCGAAATGGTGGATGTTCTTTTGAAGAATGAGTCGGTCGCATGAGATCGGCTTCGATACGGAGGGAACGCCGTGGCCGAAGGTGCACATCGGCTAGGTAATGAGGTTCTGCAAAGTGGAAGATGCTCCTGTACAACGTTGGATGGCCACCCAAGATCACACGTTCCCCCCGAGCGGCCAGTCTTCATCGCTGGACCATCTCATCCAAAGAGGCATGGCTGCAAGGGCAGAGGGAGCTTCAGGGCGGCACTTACAGTACTCTTCAGCAAGGAAAATAGTTTCGCCCGACAGCGAGTTCGCAATGCAGAACATATCTTCCTTGCTCAGAGGTGTCATCTTCGTCCCCTCGTCAAGCCAGCGGCCGGGACCGGACTGGCCATCTGGCTTCGGCCAATATGGCTTTGACCGACCTCCACGTCATATGTTCCTCAATCGCCACGATGTCCTTCTCAAAATAGAGGACCCAATTGTCGGCGAGCTTGCACAAGGCCGGGATGCCATGCTCTTGTCATAGAACTCTTCCACCACAGGCGTCTTGGAGTATAGGTAACCGGGGAGTCGGTCAATGTTGGGTTTCGGCAGAGTGGCTCGTCGACGATCATGGGTAGAGTGACGCAAGGGCTATCTGGACCTGCATCGTATATTAGACTGATTGTCGATTCATGATAAGGTCGACCTTGATCTAAGGTGGGATTAGGAGGTCACCGGTCCTCCTGTTTGACTGTTGATGGACATGGCCTGGCCTCCAACGACGCGTCGCTCATCTACAGCAGAGAGCACGCGAAACACGCAGCAGTAAGTCATTTTTCGGGCGTTTTGGAGCTGTATCATCCACACTGGAGAAGGTAAGAATACAGACTGGAGTGAAAATTGGTGGTAATGTACTAGTGGGAGATACCTCATTTTTGAGATCCTTTCACAAGCACAGGGGGAGACACGGTAGTTATCTATTACAAGCTCCCCATTCCGAATCTTCTCTGATTGATATCAGCATTGCGAATTTGTAGCAAAGGTGATGCTTGGCTGAGTGTCGAGTGTCGAGACAAGAAAGATGAATGGCCGGAAGGCGAGCGCGATACCTGCGGCCAATTTCCATAGCTTGGACCAACTGAGGATGGAATCTGTGCTGTAGTTCGAGAATTTTGGAAGCGGCTGAGGCGTGGAGTGGTCTCCTTGGGGTGCTTCGTCAGGGTGCATAGGGCCACCGCGATCTCGCAATCGCTTCCTCGACGATAAATGCATGCTGGCCGCGGTCGAAAGCGATGGTGAAAGAGGCCATGGGTGATGATGTCTGACTTTCTGTCGCTTGTACCCCTGAGGAAGCTGCCTGGGCGGGGCTCATGATCTAAGCCGTCGGGATGGGATGAAAGCCAGTCTCCGACATCGCTATCTCTCGAACACATTCTGTGCACTCAACATAACGAAGCCATTAGGTGGTTGTATGCGAGAAGTTTATCAGCTTCTCCGTGCCTCAAGATGATGGTGAATGATTTTGGGTGGAATTTTTCGGGCCTCTTATCTTCATCTCCTGCACTTACGCCGACAGTCACAGTCATCACACAGCCACGGCACAGCCACTACTCAAAACCACATTGCCTCTCAGCCTCTAATCCAGTGAGGCCCGGCCGCTTCTTGAGCGTGAATGGTCTCGCCAACAAGAGGTTCTAATCAATGTTTATCTTGCCTCATTCTTCATGTTATTTTATGATCATCATAATGTCAACCAAGCTTACGATGGCGGCAAAATACAAACGAGGCCATGCCAAGTCGAAGAATTTATTGCGGCAATAGGTTTTAAGAAAGATAAAAATATATAAGAATAATTACGAAGTTCAGCGCTAGGGCAACATGCGTCATAAAGAATGTTTGACTTGCTAAATGTTTTTCTCCTGGCACCCCGCCAGCTATTGCTTGTTGTTTTGGATGCAGAAAAAATGTCACCTGAAGAAACAGGTCTATAGGATACGCAGGCAAGAATCATGGTGTTGAGGTGATGTTGATGCTTACAACCCCGCTTGGTGCGTGCGCCTTACGTGTTCTGCATCGGACGCGTAGCGCGATGTATGCCCAGATGCTGCGCACGTGTCGCCAGCCATCACGTGCTAAGCTGGCTGCTACCAGTAAACTCTTTGTTGGGCTTGACGCCCAGTTAGTTACCGGGTCAAGACAAACGACACGAAATAAATCATTGACGCCTAAATCAATAAAGCCTCCATCCCGCTCGATCTATATCATCACAACCAAGCACTTTTAAAATCTGCCTGGGGGTTCTATGTTTCTTCTGCTTCCATGATGCTGTCCCCCCGAGATCTTCTGGTTGTGAGGAAGCCTGGAGTTTCTCGGTAACTGGCGGCACTGATCGGGAGTTTCGAATGATCCTGGAAATGAGGGTCGTCAATTATCGCCATGCTTTTTAACACGTGTCGCCCTCCTCTCCTCGCATACATGACTGCGCTGTGAGTATGATTTTGCTGTAAAGTGGCAGCTCTGTGCTGAACTCTGATTGAAGTTGTTTGATCCTGGATTGCTTACAACGCGCGGTAACATACATGAGGACGACAATCGGCAAGGAGAGCATTCACAATCGACATCGGATAACAGCAGCTCACTCGGGTGTCATCTCTGAACAACGTGTCAAATAATGGTCGATTCATTCAGCCTGCGCGAAAGAAGATAAGAAGAAAATGGAAACACAAAGAGAAAGGGGGGACAGATCTTTCCGCAGCATATTGTGAACTTCCAGACAAGTCAAGCAGTCAGTCAACTAGTGTTCTTATGGTCTAACCACCTTATGAATTGATCAAAAATCTTGTCGAGGTCATCCTGCTGTAGGTTCTTTGGGGGACTGTGATTCGACACCAACAGGCAAGCAACAGCATAGATAACCTGTGCCCTAGAATCATCACGCACAACACCATAATCCTGCTTCTCCAATTCGAAACGGCGCTTAAATTGCAAAGCGGCAATGACCTGCCCACGTGATTTAAACATCGTTTCCTTTGTCTTCTCAAAGGGAAACGGCTGGATGTTTAGTTCTTTTTGGTAGCATGTCATCCGATCATGGATTTCAAACTGAGGCGACAGGGGTAGTGACAGAAGTGATTCGATTTCCGAAATGGCCCATTTCAGTCCGTCCTCGAGTTGTTTCCTCGTAAAGGCCTCCGAGATGCATTTAATACATGGCTCAGGCAGCGTCTTGTCATTAATAGCCTTATATTCCTTTGCACGAAATAAAAGGTAACAGACTCGTAATGTAGTAGTGTGTTGAGCGATACTATAGCCGGGGAGATCTTTCACGTTTTCCAACGCAATGGATGTCAGGTTCCGACACGTGGCGGCTCTGACGTGTTCACATTTGTGCAAACTCAAGTCATCCGCTGTATGATCCTCCTTTTGTTTGACAGGAGTTTCAGTACCGGATCGCTCCAGATCGTGCGTCTCTCCAATTTCGTATTTGCCTTTCAAGGATAGTGGAGTTTTGGGTTGGACATATAGACCAGGTACTGCCCTTTTCTCATTACACATGATGTAAATATTGAAGGGTAACCTTGTTGGGTTCTCCGTTTTCCTTTCGTTCTCCAAAGCTCGGCACCCCGAAGCCCTGTACCACTTGAAGATGAGTTGGATGGCTGCGCCTCCAGGCTTGTGTTGCGGCCGGTCTGCAGCGTCTGACTTGATTCTTGATGCTAAATTCAGGATGCTGGCAGCACCATTCGTGGCATTGCCTCGACGGACGCAGATTAGATCGTAGAGAAAGCTTAAAACCTCATCAAGACAAACGTCGGATGGGAATGTATAGCCAAGACGACCGGAACCTCGTGCAGCGAATATCAGTGCGTAGCCGTCAAGTTTCTTGTCATGCTCCTCACAGTCTTCCAGTGAACCCTTCCGGAAGTACATGTAAATGTTGCCAACTCTCGAAACCATTTCAGAGGATTTCGGAACCATAGAAGTGAAGAATGCGCCAAGATGTGTCTCGAAGGGAGTGATAGACTCGAACAGCGCCTGATTAACATCTTCAACGTCATCCTCATTATTCCAGATTATGTCAATGCGGAGCTTGCTTCCAGGAGTCACCTGAATATCATGCGGTGCATGCGGTAATGGTTGCTTGACCTGGCCGGCGCTGTCGATTTCGGTTGTGACTCTCATGACAGAAAAAAGGTGGCATTGAGTAGGAGACTGGAGGTGATGATGCACTGGCAAAGGCGGGAAGATAATCTGTATTTGAAGGCTGAGGCTTCAGGTGATGGGCTACAAGTATGAGTGCAAGAACAGACAGGGGTAAGGATTGCGCTTCTCTCCCCGTCCAAGACCCTGACCCCGAATCATGGCTTATCTCCTTGGGGCGACTTCCTTACCTCTGGCTCTTTGCGGTACGAGAGTCAGCAGATTTAGCAAAAGCAAACACAAGGTTTCCAGCATGTCGTATTCTTAGTTTGCCAGATTCGGTGGGTCCCTCATGCCAACGATCGTCAGGTCCGTCGGCAATTATTTTATCGACCTCTAAATCCCTTTCAATTCGGCCTAACAGGCATGCCAAGGCGCGTGGGTACAAATCATTAGAAGCCAGGATGAAGAAGATGTTAGATGTCGCCCCTTGCAAAGCAATGCATCCCCAATTGCTCAATCATATTAGAAAGCTGGTGGACCTTGATACTGACCTCTCATTGCTGATCCTAGGTTCGCTAGGTCGCGTCCTTTCGCGTAAAAAGCGCGTAAAGTCGTGCACTCTTTACGCTAAAGATCGCAAGATTCCAATATTAAACCTCATGCATGAATGATCTTTTGTAAGCTGATTTGTCATAGCGTTGCCCTGAGCAGAGGGGAGATCCTCGAGGTATTTAGTCGCTTAATTACAAGTCTTAACAACTTCTTACCCTATACGTTTTCTTCTTCCTTGCAATCGACGGACAGGCACCTTCCT